ACAAAAGAATATACAAACATAGAGACTCAAAACCCCGGAACACTTTTCAGACCAGACCGAGGCGCTACTGAGGCCTTTGCACGGAGCTAGCTCTGTGGTCACGTGGGTCTGATGCTCATTAATTATACAGAATTTTAGGCTTTTAATACACTTAAACAGAAGAGTGAGAAAAAAATCCACCCCCCTCAGAGTTGTCATGAGTGTAAACTAGATAATTTAAACAAAAAACATGTTTTGGTACCAGGCTGTAAACATGTTTATTTCTGCTGTGAAATTGGTATTTTTAACATGGGAGTCAATGAGGATTTGCTTGCTTCTGACACCAGCCCCTAGTGGATGAGGGTGGAACTGCAATTTATTTCACTTCTGCATTTGCCTCAATTTTTGACCCGCATTGTGGGGGCTTGATTCTGACTGAGGAATGGGTGTGCCGGTTTGGGGTGCCGCGGAGCCTCCATTCCGACCAGGGAAGGAACTTTGAGTCAAAACTATTCCAAGAGCTATGTGGACTCTTGCAGATTCATAAAACGAGGACAACCCCCTATCATCCCCAGTCTGACGGATTAGTGGGGAGGTTTAATCGGACATTGTTGACTATGTTAACTTTTTTTGTGGAGGACAACCAACTTAATTGGGATTGCTCACTGCCATATGTAATGCTAGCCCACAGAAGTAGCATTCACGCCAGCACATCTGTCACACCCTTTAAGGATCTGTTTGGGCAAGAGATCGTGCTACTCGTTGATGTCATGTTGAACCTGGACAAGGGTGAAGCCTTCGCCTCGGTAGACAAGTATGTGACAAGACTGAAGGAAACATTGACTACGGTGGTAGATAGGGTGAAACGCCATCAGTGCAACAAAAGAGGACATATGATTTTAGGGCCTCCTGCCAGTTTTACTCAGAAGGTGAATTGGTGTGGGTCTGAAACAAGCTGAGGAGGCGGGGGGTCCCAAGCTTCAGAGACGATATAAAGGGTTCTCGAGCGGGTGACAGATGTGCTGTACAGACTGGTACCCATTGAGGGGGGTCCTGAGAGTGTGATTCACTTCAATCGACTTAGTCGTGTACTTCTCTTTCAACAGTTTGCAGCAACGATGACTGTGGGGTCTCGAGAGAGCGGGACAGAGGCTGCGTCAACCGGATGCCACCTGGGAAGACACCAGCAGGGTTCATCAAACGAGGGGTTCCGGTGACTCAAGTGACCCGGCCCCATCACATGGAGAGGCTGCTCAAGGGGGTGCTGCTGCAGGAGGATCGAAAGGATGTCTCTCTGGGAAGGTCAAGGGACAAGGAGCTGTGGAACAATGCGTGGTTCGTCAGAGGAGACCCCCCGCTCTGTTCAAGGATTATCGCGTGGATGTTTAGGACTCGGAGGCGAGTCCTTTAGGTCAAGAAGGGGGAGAGTGGGGAAGACAGAAGACGGGAGTTGCCTGATTCTGGGGGTGTGGCGATTGGACGCCGGCTGGTCCTTGTCATGCGTAATGAGGCCGGAGCAGCACAGCACAGACACTCAATGGCATGTTATCTGCAGATAATAATTAATTTGTTTGAAAAAATGTTTTTAGACTAATTAGGTGAAATTGGATAATTTTCCACGGCACACCTAACGATCTCTCACGGCACGCAAGTGTGCGCCACGGCACAGTGGTTGAAAAAGACTGAGTTAAGACATTCCATTAAAGTCACTTATTTCAATGAATCTGCTTTGGTCTCTAATGTAGATGGATGCCTTCTGAGTTGTTTTCTATTAAAAAAGTTAGTCGGAGGAGCGGCAGGATTTGGAGTCTCACTCGCAAATGCAGTAAATGGCGGTAGAAGATTATTTTCACATTCTGCATGCATGTGAAACAGAATTACCAACCGTATTTCATTAATAACAAACACTGTATATTTCTCACCTTTAAAGACATGTTTGCACATCACTTTTGGGGGTAACTACAGCTAATACTGTGCGCCAGGCATTGTCGTCCAACATCTGCACCTAACCTCACAAATGCACTTTTAAAAAAGTTGTTAAAATTTCCATGAACACCCTTCCAAACCATATGGAAGGCCTTCCCAGATAAATTTGAGCTGTAAATGTTGCAAAGAGTCCAATTTATACCCTGAGGGGCAGATACCGACTTCTGCTGTACCCTTTGTTTTAACCTCAGGTCTTAGATCTTACCGGGCATGCTGGGACTTTGGGCTCACCATCAGCCCAAAGAAGTCAAGTGTGATGGGGCAGGATATGGCCATCCCACCCGTCATCATTTACAACCAGCTGAAAGTGGTCCACCAGTTTATTTACTTGGGCTCAACTTTCACTGACAACCTGTCCTTGGATGCCAAAATCAACAAATGCATCAGTAAACGCCGCTACAACTCTGAAACAATCGACTACACGTGTCTGGGAGAACCCCAAGCTACAACCAAGAAAGCCGTTTATAATGCTTGCATCATCAGCACCTTCCCATACGGCGGAGAAACTTGGACAACCTACGCCAAGCAAGAACGTAAGCTAAACAGTTTCCACATGCGGTGTCTTCGCCGCGTCCTCAGCATCAGCTGGAGAGACAAAATCCCCAACACCGAGATCCTGGAGTGGGCTGGCCTCCCCACCATGTACACCCTACTCAGGTAACGCTGCGCTGGTTCGGCCACATGCATCGCATGGAGGATGGCCGAATCCCCAAGGACATTTTCTACGGAGAACTCGCCACTGACAAAAGATCTCTAGGCCGTCCACTGCTGTGTTACAAAGGTGTCTGCAAGCGTGACATGAAAGCTTTGGACATCAACACAGCGACCGTCCGTAGCAGCTGGCGCTGTCTGATTCACAAACTACTGAGGAAGGACGAGGACCAGAAGAAGAACCTGAAGGAAGAACAAAGAGCCAAGCAGAAAGAACATAAGCACAGAAATCCTCCTGCAACCAACCACACCTGCTTCTTGTGTGACAGGGGCTGCCACTCCCACTTTGGACTCACCAGTCACAAACGACGATGTTCAAGCCGTACCACCTCAAGGGTCCAGGGCACAACTTCCAAAGTCAGCTATGACTGAAGGCTTAGTAGTAGTAGAAAGTCTTAGCTCAGAGAACATGGTTAAAATATAAATTTGGTTGGGCTCACACTGTAGTGACAAAACGAACCAGTCACTGTTAGAGTAGGCCAAGGGTAGACTGGAGACCAGATGCATCTGCTGCTCATAGAAAAGACAACCATGACAATATCAGTACATAATCATCAGGCGCTTAATCGATAACGGGATGTGAGCGAACTCTGTGATTGGTAGTGAACAAATATTAGTTTCTGTTTTGTTTATGCAGGCAGACATTAATTGAGACATTGAACCAACCTTTTCTTCGTCAGATAACTGCTGAAATTCTTTAACCTTTCCACAGTTAGCCAGCCTCTGCTCAGCGTTGAACACGTCTGCACAGGTTGAGTCAGAAGGACTAGCCTGGGATGTTCAGGAATGCTTTGCTCTCCTGCTTTTCACCAGGAGATGTTGCGACGGTGTGATTATGACACTAAAAAAGTGTGATCGGCAATTCCACTGCAGGGAAAAGGTGTTGAAATAAAACTAAATCTGTCAAGGTGGATTTTTCTTTTTACTTTCTTGTCAAAAAAAAAGAGCTGACATAAGGTGAAATTTTTACAAGCACAAATGGGCTGTCCTACTTTTGACCTGCACCGTAATTTCTCACCTGAGCTGTACCCGTGCACCCTTTAGCCTTTATTTATTAGCTGACTTTTACTCGTCCATCTTTAAGAAGGTTCCCTTCTGGCAGGAGACTGTGTGTAATATTAGTGTCACAAATATCCACGCAAAAATCTTTAGTAAAAAGTTACAGGAAATTCCAGAAATTCATAAATACTTCCACAAATACTCTCAAATTTACATTTATAAAACTGATAACAAGAAAAGAAAATTGCATCTGAGTGAGAAAAACAAACTCATGAACTCAAATACACTCATCATCACCAACCCGGCATCTGCTTCCACCTTCTGGTGACATCACTTTATTTTTTTATTCTTATTCTAACCTTTTCCAACAATCATTCAGATGTTTTTTTTTACTCTGATAATGAAACCCAGAGTAATGTTGAGTTTGATTTCTTGTCTGTATTTTATTGAAGAAATAATCCTTTTCCTGTTTTTAATTTATTTTAAACACAAAAACAACATTTATAAGAAGAAAAAGAAAAAAGTATAACTTAAGACAGACTATTAAAATATATATATCTTTAAACATAGAAAACATACATGTAAATATGTACGAGGATTTTTTTACAGGCTTTTTAGTTTTCTTTCAAGACTACCCTTAAAAATATGAAATGTTGAATTCACTTAACGAAGTTATGTCAATGTAATAAACATGTATTTAAATATAATATAGCAATGTATAATAATGTATATTACTCTTTACATTTAAGCAACTAGCTTTAGTGGAACCAGTTGACATAACTTATAACTAAGTGAATTCAACATTTTATTTATTACAGTGTTTTTCTACTCTAAAGACTGCCCAAATGTATTTAAAATCTATCATTAGACCAGAAAACGTCACATTTTTATCTTAAGTACATTTTCACAGAGTGTTTAGAATCACTCTGTTGAGAACAAACTGCTGCCTGAGCATATGTCTAAAGATAAATACAACAAAAACACTATAAAAACAGATGCAACAGTTGGAAAGGCATACATGTTGACAAATCTAAATGCTTAGGTTAAAATCTGATTCTTCACCAAGTAGTTAATCTACCTCACCTTTTCACACTTCTTGTTACCTTTTCTAGGAACCTTTTCCAGGAGCTGATGGAAAAGTCAACACAGTATATAGGGGGTTCTGGGGAAGGCAGGTGAGTAGGAGAGAGTAAATGTACCTGTTAAGGATGTTAGTACCATCATAGTGAGGGGACAAGATGGTGGTGGTGGTGGTGGGGGGGGGGGGGGGGGGGGGGGGTTAAAAGTCCAAACAACAAGCAAAGGTGACACAAATGACCAGAGAATTCGTCCAGATCAAGTTTTTTAAACATCCCGTCAGAAGACTGGGTCCGAAAGAGGTCTGAACAGAACAAATTTGTGTAAACAAGCATGTCAAACAAATGAAATAAAAGAAATTTAACATCATGCAGCTTCTGGTTGAGTTGGAAACAGAAATTCTCCAATCAACAACAGCTTTCCATTAAATTCCTAACTATGTTATCTACATCGGTTTTCCAATGGAAAACTTCCGTTTCAGAAAAAAAAAACAGAACCCTTTCTATGATTTACACACTCCAGCTGTTTCCTCTTCCTCTCAGTGGTCAGTCTCCTCCATCACCTCCATCACCACAGTTCTGGGTCCAGTTAGGATCAGGTGGCTCACTGTCCGGTAGTCCAGATCCAGGACATTGAGACCGTTCACTGAAACTACAAACTGGCGAACCTGAACAGAACAATGTGATTAGCTTTAATTACTGATTTAACACCCAAACATTCCTTCTTATCCCAGGTTTATTCTGGGTATCCCACCTTCATCCCTGCAGCAGCAGCTGGGCCGGAGGGCTCTACAGCCTGAATGTGACAGGGTTGGCTTCCTCGGACCACGAAGCCCCAACCCACTGCGTCACCCACAATCTGGAAATGTGTTAGAAATGCTCACTCAGGAAAGGAAATAGCTTCTTTAAAATGCTTTATTTCATATTTAGTGGAAAGCACAACCACTATTCCACTAAGACTGAGCTGTTAAATTTGAAACATCTAAACAAACATGCACAAAAGTGTGCATATTCCCTAAAGATGCATTTTAGCAATAAAAAGCAACATAAAAACAAAATTAAAAACACGTTTTTGTTGTTTTAGTGAAATAAATGTCACTAAGAAGCCTCTCGGACGGATAGAAAGTGCTCTCAGTCATATGGAATTATAAACTCTAATAAACGTACTGTAAATGTTTTCCTGATGTAGGGACTTCCTGGTGTTTGCAGCTCCTCTGTGCTCACAGGTCTCTTCAAGACTGAAAATAGTTAGAAAAAATATGAATAAATAAAAAAATTGAAATGAAATATGACTTTTTGATTGCTTCCCTGATGCAAATTTTGTATCAAATGCTGTTTAACCCTTTTAGGTTCTAATCAATGATCTGGTAGAGCACATTTTAATCGCTATATTTTAATCAGTCTTGCGTTGAACTTGATTCAATTTAAAATCTGATACGGGGCTGAAGGTCAGCAAAAAATGTGTTTAAATAAAAAAGTTGTGCATTTTCCCTTACACTGTATTACTCTTACTATTATTATTATTATTATTATTATTATTATTATTATTATTATTATTATTATCATTATACATTAGTGCTGATTGCTCTGGTTGCATTTGAGTTATTTTAGTAATTTGAAAATGAAACACATGGATATCTATGAAGTGAAAACTGGATATTTTTTTGTGAATTAACACAAACAAACATGATCAAAGTCTCAATAACTAAGAATTGGAACATTGCCACAAAACTGATTTATTGTTTTTCAAATGGCTTCACCCTCACTGTCATGGTCTGTGTCTGCATCTCCCCTCATGTGTCTCCTTGTGTCCTCCATTCGTTCTCTAGGTGCTCCTTTTGTGTCCTAGCGCCCTCATGTGTCATGTCTGCGTTTTCCTCATGCGTCTTCTGGTTTTCCCCATTTGCCCCTAATCCCCAGCCCTCTAGGTTTCTCAAGTCATTTCCTTCAGTTACAGCCTTTCGTGATTTAGTATGTTTTTTTCCATCAGTGTTTATTATTTTTCTCCCCCCCCCCCTTTGAATTGTAGTTATGTTTCCTGTTCTTTTGTATTAGGTTTTATTCTTGGGTCAAGTTAGTTTCTCCCCTGATTAGTCATTGCTTTCACCTGGTCCTCCTCCCACACCCCACACACCTGCAGCTCATCTCCCTCTCATCCTCCCTGTGTATTTAAGCCCTGTCTTGTCTCAGTGTCTTGTCGGTCCATTGTTTGTATTCTGTCTGCGTTTGTTCGTGCTCTTTATGAGTTTTTTGTCTCGTCCTCAGACTTTGTGCTCTAGGTGAGCTTCTGTTTCTAAGTCTTTGGTCTTCATGCTCTTTATGAGTTTTTTGTCTCGTCCCCAGACTTTGTGCTCTAGGTGAGCTTCTGTTTCTAAGTCTTTGATCTTCGTGCTCTTTATGAGTTTTTTGTCTCGTCCCCAGACTTGTGCTCTAGGTGAGCTTCTGTTTCTAAGTCTTTGATCTTCGTGCTCTTTATGAGTTTTTTGTCTCGTCCCCAGACTTGTGCTCTAGGTGAGCTTCTGTTTCTAAGTCTTTGGTCTTCGTGCTCTTTATGAGTTTTTTTGTCTCGTCCCCAGACTCTGTGCTCTAGGTGAGCTTCTGTTTCTACATCTTTGGTCTTCGTGCTCTTTGAGAGCTTTGGGTGTCCTGTGCTCCAGGACTTTGGACTTTAGGCTCGTTGCCTTGGATTTATTTTTGTTCATCCTCTAATAAAAGGACTTTTTCCTTATATCTACTCCTGCCTCGTGTCCTCCTGGGTATCTGCATATTTGGGTCCTAAACATCCCCGAAACGTGACACTCACATTACAACCTGATTCATAAGTTATCACTTCTTGGGCATCTTTTGCTTTTTGAATGAAAAATAATCCAGCATGTCAGCTGCAGTGAAAACACCTGAACTAGCTTCTCCTTCCTGTAACAATTTTTTTGTATTTATTTATGTATTTATTTATTTATACCTGATTTGGGGTTGTAGAGAACGTGGGGAGAGGAGCCTCTGTGGCCACTGAGCACCCTCATGGTGTAAATGCTTCCATCACTGCTGCTTCTCAGTCGTGGTTTTGCTGGACCGGTGCAGCTTCCACTCGAGACCAGTTTCTCACTTTTAGAAGCACCCTCTGCTAGAAGACAGACAATCATTATTTTTTAAAAACATTTTAATCACTAAAGCATCTGTTCTATTGGATTTCGTGTCATTTTGGTTCAAATTTGACAATCAATAATGTAAATGCATTTGCATACAATATTGCAAGATCCTGCTGAATAATAAATAATTTATGACAATCAGCTATAAATAAATCAATAGCTAACTTGGTAGCAAGAAAAACGACTTGGTTACAGCAATTCTTGTGATTATCAAGGCTGGTGGATTGATGCAGCTGTCTTAAATTTGATTGAATTTTGGGTTTAATGTTTAGTCTTTTTGAGGTTGTATCATCCAAATGTGCCCAATAACTTAAACATCAAACAACCACATGGAAAAGTGGAATAAATTAGTTTGAGGCACTGACCAGTTCCTTATGAGGTTGCATGGATTGAAGATCTCCTGTGCTGTCCTGGCGATTTTGTTTGTTAATGTTTCAACCACAGTTGTTGCTTGTTTGAGGAAATGTTCTAGGGCTACGTGTAAATGCTGAGTCAGAAGAAATCAAGTGTTCTGCACATTTAAAGTAATGTGTACTGAAACTGACCCAGTTCTGTGTTTAACTTCCATCATTAATAATCCAGAGATGGTGTTTCTGTTCACCTTGACCAATCATAGGGCTGCTTTTAAATAGAAAAGATAAGAACGGCAAACAGCTGTCTCGGTGTTGTGGTAATGAAGACAGTAAGGCTGCTCTTACTGGGTTAGGGTTAGGTTAGTTGAGAACTGGTAAGTGAGTTCACCAAAATGGTCAAAATGTGTCAATGTTAATATAATGGCTGAATTTACAAACTTTACTACCCTCTACTGTCCAAAAACTGGTCAAACTTGGAATCGAAAACTCACATTTTAAAGAGTTTGCCCCGATTAAAAAGTTCAGAAAAGTAAACTGCAATTTCCTTTAAATGTGTACAATCAGTCATTTTGTGTCAGAACGTTGGGACTTGTTGAACAGGAGGAGTTAAAGATTCAAGGAAAACATCTACTGTGCTTGTTGAGTACAAAAGATTCGCCATCAGTTTCTACTGTTAAAATCAAGACTGAACCAATTTCAATCATGTTCTTCTTGGCTTTCCAGTAAATTCCAATTCTATCGATTTCTTGTCAATTCCAGGTCAATAAAGGACACAAATCTCTGTTAATCAGACAATAACACAAATAAAATCATAATGTTTTCTTATTTAGACCTGGACAAAAGCTTCCTGTAACCATGAAACACTTGTTTTATCCTCGTTTTTAGTTTTATTTTAACAGAAGTTTTTCTTTTTGCTCATTTAAACAAAATAAAACAGCTTTTTCCTTTTTCTAGCATTACTTTTAGAAAAGATTTGGAACAATGTCATGTTTTACACTCTTCGAAGCAGTAAGACCGCATTTTACATTTCATATCTTCAATCTAAAAATAAAATCCCAACATTTGAAGAGTTCATCCGTTGATCTGAGCAGTACTTACCTGCTGTACGAGGCCCCATCTCTCTTCAGTTGGTCGTCCAGGGAGGAACGTAGCAAAGGATGAATCTAGAGGAGGAAGACCTTTAATGGTTTGTACACACAAACAAAAACACACGCATGAATGGAAAATCAGTCAGCTACAGCTCTCTGCACAGGCTGGAGCAACAGTTCCCCCAATCAAGGATTCAGTTCAAATGTTCTTTGTGTTTACAGGTCAGAAAGCGAAGGGAGTCAACTGGTTGGAAAAAAAGCTGGTAGGTGAGCTAAATATTAAACCCCTGAACAAACAAGCTGACCGTCAGCATGAAGGAGGAGGAGACAACGGTCATGAAGAGTTTTTTATCTATAGAATCATCATATTGATCACATGAAACAATGTGTGTACCACAAATAAATTAAACAGCTAAATTATTTTGCTTCATTAACTACAAAACACAAAATACACTTTGCTTCTAGGCTTGACGAGTCCTTATTTGCTGCACTTTAATTATTTGAAAGAGGCTGGAATTTACCAACAAGAGGACACCAAGATTTAAAGAATCTTCCACTCAAGAAAAAAAAATATTCCCAACCAGGACACAATGTTTTTTTATTTGAGAACCATGAATTAAATTTAAGGGAGTAACCCTCATCCTAGCCTCTTCACACTGTGCTTCAAACCTCTCCATTGCATGCTGAAAGCCATTGCTATAGAGAACCACATCATCTGCAAACAACAGGAGTGACGTTGGTGAATCAGACAACCTCTTTTTGACTAGATCATAAACATTACAAACAAGATCATGGACAAGGGACAACCCTTGCAAAGTTTGTTCTTATTTTAAATTATTGGTTTGTTTTTCCCTTGTGAGTAAGGCCATCAGCCGAGTAAACTCGACAACGTGGCTGAGCATGACAACAAAAGAAGCACGCTACGATGGTCAATAACAACAACATGATGCAGACAGTGTAAACATGCTTCTGATAACTCTGCATTCCTTTCTGTCTGCAAGAGGGACATTCCTCACTTTTAAGATTTGTATTCAATCAATGGTCATGTTTCAGTGGCTGATCATGAGTCAAACAGCCAGCATGGCTGGAGATAACAACACTTAGATAACAGGGACAACTGTTGACAACAAAACAAAAAGCACACTGATATTCACAGATAATGTAGTCTTTTGGTCTCTCTCAATGAAAACTTCCAGCACCCATTAGAATGACTTACAGCTGAGAATACATCCCAACATTCAAGTTGTAGACCATAGTCCTCATTTGGGAATGGGTGGATTTGCTTCCACTGGGTTGTGAGATAGGTCCTGCTCCAAGTAGAGGAGTCTGGTTTATTAGAGAGTTTAGTAGAGAGTTTAGAACAGATTGGAGAATAACATAAACAAGGAGACTGTTTCATGGTCTACTGCATGCCTATTCAATTCCAGGCCTCAAGGGATGGTACCTAGCACATTTAATTGGTTTCTCTGGTCCAACACACTGAATTCAGTGGTTGAATCACCCATTCAGCAGTTCAGCAGGCTCTGCAGAAGTCTGTTAATTACCTGCTGATTGAAATCAGGTGTGTTGAAGCAGGGTCAAAACCATAACGCGCTGGATACCGGCCCTTAAGGTCCGGAATTGAATAATCAGTCAATGTACCCAAACATCGTCTATCTTTATGACATTGTGAGAGCTGGGTCATTTGCAAAAGGCTTATCAAAGAATGGTTTCATCACATTGAAATGAGCTTGTAGAGGGTGTTTGGACCTTTGAGTATAAGATGCTTTCAGGATACATGTGCATGGGAGGTGCTTTGGCCATGTACCACTGGCATTGAAGGCAGTTTTGATTGTTAATGCCTTGATGTACCCTATATCCATCCATTTATTATCTTCCTCTTGTCCTTTGTCTTGTTGCGGGGGCAGCCGCCTAAGCAAGGAGGCCCAGACTTCCCTCTCCCCAGCCATATGGGCCAGCACCTCCGGGGGAATCCCAAGGCATTCCCTGGCCAGGTGAGAGACACAGGGTGTTTCTCAGTGTCAAGGTGCCTGGACTTGCGAGGCGATGTCTTGCAAGGCCAGGCGCCTTGTTTACGAGGACACTGTCCTTCCTTAGTCAAAGAAAATGGTTAAACTGAACAGACTTGCATCATGTGACCGCGGCTTCGACGGCGGTCATGTAATGTCACGTGACATGGGAGACAACGTTATATTTTATACATATGTTTCAATATAAATATATAACGAGCCTTTAACTTTTTAAATTTTGTATTTATTTGTTAAATTAAATATGTAAGTAAGTTACTACCCGCTAGCCACCGAGGCTGCAACTAATAAGCAACTAACCAACAACAGATAACTTCTTTGGATCTAAAAAAAACATTTTAAATTAGTCGACTTACGTTTAAACTTGAAATTTGCCCTCGAAGTAGCTGCCGGGTTTTGATCTGCCGTCCTTTTGAAAATACTGTGGCGTATTCTGGGTAATTATTGACCAAGGCTATCAGAATCAGAATCAGAAAAACTTTATTTGTCCCCGAGGGGCAATTAAAAGGCTAGGCTACAAGACACCTCTCGTGTATCCTTGCTCAGCTAGCTAAACGGCTAACAAGCGCAGAACAGATGGCTCGGTAGAACACATCTGGACAGCTTCTGATGACATGTCTCCTAGGCAACCGGGGCGGGGCCAAGACATCAAAGCAAGGTTCCTTGGCATTGAGAGACACCCATAATCCCTCCAACGTGTCCTTGGTCTACCTTTAGGCCTCCTCCCGCTTGGACGTGTCCAGAAAACCTCACCAGGGAGGCATCCAGGAGGCATCCTGACCAGATGCCCGATCCACCTCAACTGGCTCCTTTCAACGTGGAGGAGCAGCAAATCTACTCCGAGCCCCTTCCGGATGACCGAGCTTCTCACCCTATCTCTAAGGGAGAGCACAGCCACTCTTCAGAGAAAACTCATTTTGGTCGCTTGTATCCACGATCTCGTGCTTTCGGTCACTACCCAAAGCTCGTGACCATAGGTGAGGGTAGGAACGTAGATCGACCGAAAAATCGAGAGCATCGCCTTCTGACTCAGCTCTCTCTTCACCGCGACAGACCGGTACAACGGCCGCAACACTGCAGATGCAGCACCAATCCGCCTATCGATCTCATGGTCCAGTTTTCCCTCACTCGTGAACAAGACCCCGAGATACTTAAACTCCTCCACTTGTGGCAGGACCTCATTCCTGACCCAGAGAAGGAATTCTACCCTTTTCTGAATCAAGACCATGGTCTCAGATTTAGAGGAGCTGATTCTCATCCCAGCTGCTTCACACTCGGCTGCAAACCGCTCTAGCAAAAGCTGAAGAACACGTTCTGATGAAGCCAACAGGACCACATCATCTGCAAAAAGCAGAGACCTGATCCGCAGGCCACCAAAACTGATGCCCTCCACACCTTGGCTGCGCCTAGAAATCCTGTCCATAAAGGTTATGAACAGAATCGGTGACAAAAGGCAGCCTTGGCAGAGTCCAACTCTCTCTGGGAACGAGCCTGACTTACTGCTGGCAATGCGGACCAAGCTCTGACACCGGTCATACAGGGACCTAACAGTCCATATCAGAGGACCTGGTACCCCATAATACCAAAGTACACCCCACAGGGCCCCCCGAGGGACACGGTCAAACGCCTTCTCCAAATCCACAAAACACATGTAGATTGGTTGGGCAAATTCCCATGCACCCTCCAGGATCCCCCTAAGGGTATAGAGCCCTCACTGTAATATAAATTTGTTGGTAATTCAAAAAGTAGCTTGAGATATTTTGAGAGCTGACTGTAATTCATCGTAGGCATTAGCTTAATATTATCCTCTAGCCTTCTTTAGCTGATATGAAAGCAAAAGGATGCTGAGGCTTCTTAGTGGTCCAAGAAATAACTTCTGGGTCGCTCATGTTACTGGCTTTGGATCTTTACTAAACACATTTGTAGAAAACAATTCATTGTTTCTATTTCTGTTTATCTAAGTTATTTGAATTTCTTGAAACTCCAGATTATTGCTGAAGGTCGTTTAAATTATCAAACAGATTATTGTTTAATTTGAGCTGAATCACCAAATGTTACCTACAGCTAGAAAAGGGAGGTTATTCAATTGATTGGATTGTTTTTTAGTATCAGTGACAACTGTTATTGTTCAGAATAAAGCCTCATTTATCTATTATGGAAACCCAGTGAACCAAAACAAGCTCTTCCATCTTTGACACAGTGACCCCAGCGATCACACACCCAGCACATGTCTGAGTCTGCTGACCGCTTTGTTTACTTTCACCTTGGAAACAGTTAAGTTCTTCGACTGACATCTATAATTGTTATCAAGAAGAAAATGTCTGATCATCACAACTGGGAATGCTTCTTATTGAACTCCTTTTATGTAACTGCAGATTTCAACTGTTGACTCTGGTTTTATAGATCTGCTTTTACATTTTGGCCCTTTATTGTGTCCGGAGTGGGTTTAATGTCAATTTTTGTGCTTTATTTGAGTTCATTTAACTCAATAATTTTAAGTTAATTAAACTTTTCATGACCAAATGTGATTTTTCTTAATACAATGTGTTCTGTACTTTCAACCTCAAACTGCTCCAGATCTTCTTTTTCTCAGTACAAACATCTTTTGAATATTTACGCATGAGAAAAGTGGGTTGAAAAAGAGCTTATTAAGAAAAAGAAATACTATGTAAATAGTAGGAGAGATGACATAATTTATTACACAAGTATATTCTCGCAGGAAGGGACCAAACTGCTTAATTATCCCTTTTTTTGCTGCATAGAGATGCTTTTATCTCAGAAAAGTGCCCTGAAATAGATGTCTGGTGCGGACTTCCCGTGACACTTCCCTCCTTAGCGCCGTCCTCATAAACACAGCAGCTTGGTGATCTAATGCTGCCGTGCTCCATTGATTTCATGAATCAATATGCTCATCGAGTTCAGGGCTGAGAACATTGCGATCGATGCACAGAGTGTTATACGGACTCAGCACACTGTTTCATCATTGACTGATTTTGTATATTTGAACATAAATTGCACTTTTCCCAGTGATTCTCAGTAGACATTCCTGACACTTGGAAATGTCGTGCATAAAAAAAAATACATCTTATCATCTTGCTGGTCTTTGCACATGCATATGCAAAACTGCCAGTGTTAGTGGATTTTCACCTTGGGATGATTAAAAATGTTGCAAAACGTTTTTATGTGTTGCATTTGTTTCATTTCATTTGCCTCAGCAGATACTTTGAAG